ATCCATCTGTGATAATTCAGAAGTGCATGTATCTCTGACACCTTCTGTGTTTTGCAACACAAAACAAGAAATTGAATATGCAGGCAAATTACTGCAATACATTGAGACAAGGACAGAGAAGTCACTTCTGCGAGGAATATCTGGTCCAGCTGGTGTAGAAGCATTTCATGTCAAAAACTTAAGGTAGAAGTAGTCCTCATAGAACTAGACAATAAAAAATGTGTAACATGGCCACAAGAGTGGTAGAGGTAAAACAAGCAGTGGATATTTGCAATCAAAAAGGTGTATAAACTAGAGGTTTCAACTGACAGGCGATCTTGTGCTAACCATGGCAACTGAAAACATACTGCAGACTCTAATAACATGAACAAACTTAGAATATTTGGGTCCTTTTGTTTAGCAGTGACTGTAATTTTTTTTTAGCATGCTCAATCATATGTATTGCATGTTAACAAAGTGTTCCTCATACTTTGTTAGCATGCTCAATCATATGTATTGCATGTTAACAAAGTGTTCCTCGTACTTTTCTTGACCTAATGCATTAGTATTAAGTCTTAATCATTTATCTTATTTTGATAAGGGTGTGTATTGTGCAAAGAAACTGAATTCTAGTTTAGATGAAATGAAATCCACTGCAGATATTAGGCATATTTCTCAATTTGCTGCATTTTATAAAATGTGGACTCCTATGTTTAAGTTTGCAGTATTTAAATTGCAAAAGTTTTTTCAAGTTTAGAAAAAATAGGCTGGGCTTATTCTTGATGTACAGATAAGTGAAATTTTGTTACAATAGTTATATATACTTATATATGCAAATGTAACTAACCGTAAATAAAAAAAATCTTGAATGGTATTTCAGTTTTAGATGTTTAGTATAAATTCTGTGTCACAGCCTGCTGTTCTGCATCTTTCGTTCAACTTGAGTTTTTCACATCTGGAAAGCATGTCTTAGGATATATATATAGCATTGCTGTAATACGGACTTTTTCTAAAACTACAAACCATATTTTTTCCTTCATATTTCAATTCGAGATGTTATTTATTCAGAAGTTTAGTCTTCTGGAAAAATTTGCCTCAAAAGTTAAAAGAATTTTCTTTACTATTTTCAGTTTAAATTATTGTATTAAGTGTAACCAATAAAAAGGTCTCTTGAGTTTGGATAAAAAAGTTTTTGAAGGACAATCATTACTCCCCCCCCTCAAAAAAAAATGAGGCAGCCAGTATCTGGATAAAGGTAAAACCTCTTTGGACTTGCCATACCCCTCATATGAGGATGGCACGTACCTCATTAGTAGAATAGGAGACAATAGATAAATTATGCTACACAGTGTAACATTAGCAACATTTTAAGTCTTTGGTTCCTTTTTCCACAAGTTGTTTAGTGCTATTAAAATAATGATCTTTCACGTTAGACCCTAGGTAATGTGCCAAAAATGGTAATCAAGGAACATACGTATTTATTTATTTAAATCTGCTAGATAAGAATGGGAGTATATGATAACATTTTGTCAACAAGTACAGATCAGTTATTTAGCATTCTCATATATGATTTTTATAGGGCCCCTTTTCAGCTAGGGGAATGCTCGTATCCAGGTGGGGCTGAAGGGAGCTTCCGATTCTTACATGACAAGCTGAATTCTCTTCGGAAGTTTGTCCATTACATCTGAATAAAATATATAGTTCACAAAAATTTCTGTAACTTGTCCAACCAAACAGATGATTATTATTTATCACATGCTGAAATTCAATCTTCATGTGCTGACCAACAAGAAAAATTTGTTCCAAGATGTTCCCAGTACTGCTTCTGTGCTCAAACTCATTAGTTATTAACCCTTTGCGGCACACTTTTAAAATTTCCTTCTGTACACACAGAAAAATTGAAAAAGGATTTATAGATTACTCTGAACCTTCATTTATAGTAGATGTCAGCTCAACACAACCTAGTCGATATATTTTAACCATGTTTAGTTTTTTCAAAACCCTCATTTTTCAATCTAATCTTCTTATTCTTTATTAGTTTTTTTATCTTGAAATCTTGCCTCAAACGGCAAACCCTAGGTGCCCAGACCGGACTCACAGATAATCTAGGACAACTGAGAGAGTGTATTTGTTTCTCCGCATGTCATAGATCAGTTCATGGACAACAGTGTTTGTTTCAGCACTCTTTTCAAAGCTCTATTCAATCAAGTGTGCCAGTTTGGGCACACCCACAGAAATAAAAGGATAAGTGCTATGTTCACAAAATTTTACTTATGTACTCTCTAGGCGTAATTAGACTGCCTACCCTTTTTATCAAAACTCAGACTTTAAAAGGTAGCATGCTGAAAAGGGTTAAATGGAAGAGACAGGTCATAACTTCTAATCCAATCCCAAGTCTCATCAATTGAAGACTAGCTGCTCCTGCATGTATCTTTAAAAAGTATTTGTTCACATTAATGTGCTCTCCTTGTATGCAAAAATCTATGTGGCTGTTCCCATTGCTGTTATTTATATAGTTGATATATTATCACTATGCATTTCTCTGCTTCTATTACTCAGACATTCAGAAAATGCTTTAATACATGGAAAAATGAGATTTTTATAACAAAATTTAACTTTCAATTCACATGAATTTTGATGGAAAAGTTTTTTGCAAAATGGTTTCAATTAATGCATCAACTAGCCAGAACCTTTCACTTTACAATATTTATGTCGAACAAAATGCTATGATTAAATTAATGAGAAAATTCATCACAGATTAACAGAAATAGAATCAGTTATACAACACACCTGCAAACCCTTGTTTTAAGTTATAATGGATAGCCATGGCATGGTAACAGGAGCCAAGCTGCTAGCGGATTTATTTTAATTACTTAAAAGAAAATGTGTTTTGTGTCTATTAATTAGCGATCCCGTCAGATAAAGCAATAAATGCATTCTGCCCTTTAAATTTATGTTAACTGCTGCTAGCGGATTTATTTTAATTACTTAAAAGAAAATGTGTTTTGTGTCTATTAATTAGTGATCCCGTCAGATAAAGCAATAAATGCATTCTGCCCTTTAAATTTATGTTAACTAATACTACACTTGTTACATAATACTATATATCCTGCCTGGGTTTATATCTGTCTGGTGCAGGGGAAGGGGGACGTCGCGGCACGCAATGAATTGGAAGTTGATCTGTCAGCACTATCCTTATCTTCAGGGCAGATGTTTTTATTTTATTCGGCTTATAATTCCTTACTAAATGTATTTAATCTGGATACAGTCGGTCTTTGATATGATTTAAATCAAATTCCTCCTCATTATAAATATCACGAATACAAATCAAATAGTTTTCTGTTAGCAATTTTTTAATTTCGGCTATGTGTAATGCATGCACGCATTGAAAGAAATGTTTAATAAAGTAAACAAATGAATATTAAGCTTTTTTGTAAATTTTGATACCCTTTAGATCATAATTGCTCATTTTATAAATTATGGTTTCATTTTTTAATTTCTTCATGCCATCTTACCAGATTTAAACTGATGATCTATAATCCAGAATCGCCGAAGTCCCGACGAGTTTGGATTAAAGACTTTTGACTGTATATGTTTTCACACTACAAAACTGATGCTAAACAAGATCTGTTATATGAATGTTAAAACTACCAACAATTTATTCTACAGTAACTAGTCCGTGATGAGTCTTAATAGAAATTTTAAAATGCATTATTTTCGCACCAAACCTCTCCTTTGAATATAATACACAGGAAATTAGTAATATAAATTAGAAAAAATAACATTTGTCAAACATGCAAAACTTATCACTGCAATACCACACAAGATCAGTTGTTTCTTGTTATATCAAATTGAAGGACCAAGGTAAGTATTAAAACAATGTTTAATTTATTTTCCATTCTGAGGAACATCATATTCACAAAAACTTAAGCTAATGAAGGTTACTTAGCTTAAACAGGTAGCTTGTAAAAATATTAAGATGTTCTCTGCCAAATTATATTAAAGCAACCAAATCTCACCACCATGATCTTAGATCATTTTGCATATTAAGAAGTTTTCAAGACCATTCAAATGAACTAACCTTCACAGCAAAATGAACTGATAATATAAAGTTCAAATAAAAGTTGAGTACATTGCAGCATTGATAATGCCATAAATCATTCTGAATATTCTGCAAAACTGATTAAGGCATTAAGCAATAAAATTATTCAACAACACCTATTCACATTTTCAATTTTATGCCCAATACAAAATTATATTTAACTTTTATTTCTGTCATACGAATTTCAGAATAAAAACTATACAGAATTTCTGCAATTAGAATATAATGTACAGGAATGATTACATATGTAAACAGATCTTCAGCATGGATCAGCAAGATCACAAAATTGTATTACACCTACATTGTCCCACTATGAAGTTCATTTATGAAAATAAACACAGAATAAATTTACTTTTATCACATCAAGGATGATTTTTTCTCATGCATTGTGTAATTACATGAAAGAACATCATGTACTTCTATTTCATTGTGCTAATGTATAAACATGAAGTTTTTAAATAAAACCTTATTTAACCTTATTAAAAATTGTTATACTTTATGTATCTAAACTAATAATGAATATTTCATAAAGTAACTGCATGTTATTTTTAAGAGAAGTTCCAAGAAATAAAAGAAAACCAAACACAAAGAAATAAAATATTTATAAAGAATAATTATACAAAGGAAGACAACTTAAAATGCTGTTGCAGATAATTAAGCTCTTTAATATTTATTAACATAATCTGAGATGTTCAAGAACTAGTATATCTAGATTTCAGAAGTATTTGTATATTCAAATGTTATAAAACCAGACCACTATCTGAGAAGTTGACAATCTTGATCATGAGATTTAAATGAATGATTTCAGTGTACAACAGTAACAAATTCATTTGAGAAATGTTATCATCACTATCTGAGAAGTTACAATCTTGACTGAGATTTAAATTTCAGTTACAACAGTAACAAACGGAGAAGCATAAAATATATTCTTTTAAACTGCTGAAAATTTCACATTATTTGGCTTGGTATGCAATATACAGAAAAAGTACAAATGAAGCTTTCAGCAACATTTCTAGCAGATCACGTTAGTTCAACAGACTTAAATTTATAGAAGTAGACAATTTGTTCTACACAGCATTTTATATTAAAAAAGATGCAAGCACAAGATGTATGGGATGTGACATTGCTTGAAATGCTTAAACTAATTTTGATATTACCCACTACGGCCAATAGTAGTCTTTGTTACTGATCAATTAATACCTGTTAAGACCTATTTAAAGAAATCACAACATAAACTAATACTGACCATATGGATGTACAAAATATTGAATGACATGTTTACAATTTATAAGAAATTAAAATCCCAAAGTTTAATTTTGGGCCAAACCAGAATTTAGTTTAAAAAATAACAGGATATTTTGCCACGTCACAGTCAAACTTTCAAAATAACTTAGCTATCACCACATTATACAGGGTTACTGACATAGGTTAAAAAAGTGAACTGAAGTTACATATTTGGCCATAAAATTAAACCTAGAACAGCTATTATATAGCAAATACATGAAACTTTCTGCTGTATGGAAATTTCCAATTGTGTATTTGATCCAGACTAGGCAAGTTGTGCTCATATGAGATTGATTTCAAACAGACTGAGCACTAACTTGCAAGGTCTGGTTTGACCATAAAGAGAAAAAAAAAAAAAAAAAACCACCAGCTTTTTTTTTGTGGCTTAGTTCTGGCAAGCCCAATACTCTGCAGCAAATGATGAATGCTCAGAGAAGACACATACCACAAGGCTTTTTTCCAAATTCAAAGAATTCCGATTGAAGGCATCACTGTTAAGTTTTTAAACGTAAACTAATGATCTTCAAACAGTTTTGGGCTATGCTCAGATGGTGGTGCAATCAATAACAATTAAAGGCTTTTTGTTTGAGGCTGGGGACGTGTTCAAAATAGGTAGTGCTGCACGACTATCAGTTGTCTCCAGCTTCTGGCTGCTCTTCGCCATCACCTTGAGTATCTGATGTCCAAAGCTAAATGAAAAAGACAGAAATTATAAGAACATGTTAAAATTTCCAAATAAAAGTACCAGGAACTTTGAGATTAAAACAACACCTTACCGTTAAATTATCTCTAAGGAGCTGCATGATAAGTGTACTGTCTTTATAAGAGTCTTCATTTAGTGTGTCTAATTCTGCTATTGCATCATCAAATGCCTAAAATAATGAAAAACTAATTTATAGCAACAAAAAGAACTTAAGCAATTGTATGAAATGAAGCTAAGATTAAGATGTTCTTGAAGACAAATAATCTCCTACTCATCTCTCTACTCTAAACTGACCAACCAAAGAGATAAATATACTCCAGATTATTAAAATTATGTTTAGTCCTACTGAAATATACATTTTAAAAAATTAAACCTCTCCTTTCAAATAAATTACCATAACTTAAATATTTCTCAAGAATATAAATAATTATTTGCTCTACAACACACCAGCTAATCTTGAAAAATGAAAAAGTTTTTGCACTACATATATCACTGCAACTTCAAAAAGGACTGCAAACTAATAAATTAATAACAATTTGAATTATTGAAATATTACAATTCAAAATGTATTATTAAATTTATAATAAATTCTAATGTCCCTCTATTTTTGTAATATTAAGATTTTATGCCAGAGGAAACTTAAATATGCAAGAAAGTTTCATTTCTTAAAATGATGGTAAAACATGGAAATAAAATTAAATGTACATACACTCATGCCAGTAAATTTTACGTCATTTATAGATTTAAAACAAAAATAGTTTTTAAATTAACAGTATTCCTAAAATGCTCATCAACTACATCCAATAAATTGGGACAGTTAAAAATTATGCTAAAAATCATTTGGAAATAGATTTTGCACAATTTTAAGGAAGGCTGACAGTTCAACTGATTGACAGACCACACCAGAGACTGATAATCATTTTACAGCTTATCTGTCTCTATGGTATCTTAAGCCATCTTTATCAGAAATAATGAGCTTAAATACAGGGAGAGGAGCACCCACAAATGTATCCTCTTCATTTTTATTTAATCCAAATAGTTATTGCTTTCTCATTATATCATTTCTTCATATGAATATATTTGGTGTTAACTGATACAGAAGGTTCCAGCACAACATTCTGGAAAGGCACATACCATACGAATGACTTCAAAGTCTGAATCAGTATACTTTCCTACTATATATTATATTAATTTTTCAAGTTCGAACAAAAACGTTAAAATGTCCAATTCTGCATAGCAAGTTTCTTAAAAGCTCATTTTCAGCCATATCAATGTCTTAATAAAGCAAACAATTTAAAACAATATTTCATAACAAAAGTTACCATCAATTCTGATAATTACCAACTTATTTCTGTTTATAAACATGTATTTAAAGTATGTGTATGGATACATAAGTATTATGATCATGTTTAAATATATCTCAATATCATGCAAAAACATTTTTAAATCTATTGAGAGGGAGACGGCAAATAACTTCCAAAGAAAATACTGAAGAATATTATGAAAAACACATTATCAAATACCCTAAATATTTAAATAGTTATGCTATGATAGTATGTACTAATTCAACAGTTATTTGCTTTTCATGCATGCTTCTTTTGATAACAGCTGAATTGCAATTATGCACATTTTAATTAGCATTCTATTACTGAACATTATAACAACATTTCCACCACTATTCATTTGAAATTGCATTTCTTTTTAAACTAATGTATTTTTATACAATGTAATTACATACGGGTCATATATCACTGAAAACAATTTCAAGTTATCAACTGAATGTTTTATGTGATGCTACAAGACTGGAAAACAAAACCACACCGACTGTAAAATGCATTTGCTTTTACAGTGAACAATTATATTACAGTAAGATGCTTGTTAATTATCTACTACATAATGTTATTCAGGGTATTATTTATGCATTTCAATGTATTTCAGACCTTAAAAAAGGAACAAAGAAAACTTACACCGATTTAGAAACTAACAGCAACAATAGCAATATATTCAATTGAAATTCATAATTTTATTTCTATAATGATTAAAATAATGATAGTAACATTTTAATTCAGCGCATGAAACATTGCTGCAAAATATTCAGCGGAAAGGGAAGGGAATAAAAAATAACAGGTCCTATGAAAATCTGACCAACCTAGAAATATGAAAAAACAGGATATTCAGACCCACAGAAACCAGGCATTTCCAGGAGTATTGTACATACCATGAACTCCAAAATTGATTTAAATTTGCTTTATTGCATATGATTTAGTTTATTCAACTACTGATATGATTTTAAACAGATTATTTAATTACATACTCTGAATTTCACGTTCTTCAGCCAATTTTATTTGTTTTCTTACACTTTTATACAGAGAAAATTTCAAGGAGGGAAAGCTTTAATTTATCAAAACACTTTTAAATATCACAAAAATAAAATTATTCACAATCCCCCTCCCCCATTTCATGTTCCGAAATGGCCAACTGACTACATAAAGATATCCAAGATTAAATAGAGATATTCAGCAATTGACGATTTGATTGAATATTAATGTGAAATTTTTAAAATATCAATAGTTTGAATTAGTATCCAGATCATAAATTTATTACTGAAGATTATTAGTGATGGAAGAATGAAAGGTCGTTATAAGAATCAGGATTCAGAAACGTGTGCAGGCATGTATGCAAGTGTTCCCATGTGTATGTGCACACATTCATTCCTGATCTCATCATGACAGCATAATAGTACCAATTGAAATCTTGAATAATTTAAATAATGTAAACTTCACAAATTCCATATGTTCAATTTAATAATTTTATTGACAAAAACACCAATAGTCTAAAAATTAAAAAAGTTTTGGTTATTCTACCTGGAGATGCACTGAAAAACAAGGAGATTTGGCAGCTGCAAGACAGTGATAAAGATCAAAATTGGATTTTTCCTTTTTTAACAACCCAACCCTTTTTAGAAATGGCTACCAATTTGTGCACATGTGCAATGTTTTTTCAGTTGTTAATTAAGCATGTGTATCCCCCTTGGCAAAAAACCAGCAATTACTTTCTTTTGTACGCCTACGTGGTTCTAGTTTCTCTACGTATTGGAAGGTGTTTTTTAAAATAAATATTTAACAATGAAAAGCTAACATGCTTAATGCACCCTTGATTGGGAGAAAACTATGCTGCAGCCAGAAATTTGCCTATGGGGATCAACGAAAAATCAAAACAAAAGAGAGACATCACATATCATATGCCCAGCAAAATTAGTGTTCAAACTTCACGTTTAGTAATACTGTTTTCACAAACATTTAACATTTGGTAAGAAATTACATTCCTTAAACCAGGGATGGGCAAACTATGACATGGGGAACAGAATTTTAATTTGCCAGTGCGAGGCAAATTAAAAGAAATATACATCCATCTTCTTTTCTACTTCACATTTAAATATTTTTTCCTTCCTTTTTTTCAAAGGACTGATGATCTTTTTACTTTCTCTATTTTTGTTCTACAAAACATAAACGGACAGAAATAACAAGCACAGACAGCTTTTAATCAGTAAAGTGTTAAGGGCAGAAGTTCTTCGTTAGTTATAGCTGTAGATTGCCGCCACCAAGCGTTATCTCTTTCTTGTGGAGCGGAACATATGGAAATCCAATATAGGTAAATTAGACCTGTTAGAAAAAACTTAAATCTGTTTGCTGGGCATCTAGCTAAGAACGACTTGCTCATTTCCCGAGGTTAAATGAAGAATTGTGAAGATGGCTTGAAAAAAACTTCATTTTGAGTTCGAACAAAGATTTCAGTGCCATTCAAACAGAATTGGATATTTTTACCATGCCTTTCAACATAAATTATGAAGCAGTGAGGTCAGTTTGCAACTTGAATTAATTGAGTTGCAATCTAACAATCATCTCAAGCAAATGTTTCTAAATATGCCAAAGTTAGTTTTACAAATCATTCTCGAAAGTAAGTTTCCCAAATTTAACATCTCATGCCCAGAGAATCGGTGTTATGTTTCCCTCATCTTATATATGTGAACAAGTGTTTTCAACTAAGTCTTAGAAAGAATTATTCCAGAAGTATACTGACAGACGGGCATTTAGTCTCGTTCCTTAGAATCCATACATCTCAATTCAAACCTCAATATAAGAATTTTTTTAAATGAAAGCAAAGTTTGATTTATCTCATTAACATTTATCTCATTGTAATATTGCATATTGTTTTTAGAAAAATTTATCTTGGCCCGCCAAAAAAAAAAAAAAAAAAAATCCCCCCCCCCCCAATTTTTGCCAGTCACCAGAAAAGTTGCCCATCCTCGCCTTTAACAACAACCAAAAAAAAAAAAAAAAAAAAAAAGCTAGAGCTGACTGCCATGACACAGAAGTGAAAATGTGTTGATGCTGATATTATGTTGAATACACGATTCTAAGTGGAAATGAATAATAGAAAAAGTCTAAACTACGAAGTCCATTTTGTAGATTATGCAGCATGTAAGGGTTAGTGGTCTTTGAAAAACTGATTTTACAAATTACTTCCTAAAACAAATCTCTTCCCCACACAAGTCACACATAAAATTTTTTTTAAGATTCTATTGTTTTCCTAAACAATATGGTTAACATGTGTTAGTAACTTCGAATAAATTATTATTTACGCTCAGTGGCAAGCTTTAATAAAGTTTGAATAATTTAGTATGCCTCGCTCTTTTCAAATTAATTTAAAAAAAAAAAGCACATACATACCTTGTTAAGTCAGTATAATTTTATTTTATAACACAAAATAGAAATAAAATTCTTAAAATTCCATTAAAATAGTCTTAACAGGTGAACTGCATAATGAAATTTTCAAACGGCAAATTTTCAGGAGACAGGGGAGTTGAATATAATATTTGTAAAAAGTAAAAGAATTGGAATATATTAACGTGTTTCTCAATCTGTGGTTCTTGAAAAATTAATGTTATATGTTAATGTAATGTAATCTTTAGTTCTGTTAAATGAACAGGAAAATGTATCTCACGTACTGGAACTGAATGAAAAGTTTTAAAATGAATTCTAATGTCATCACCAAAACAGTAAGTTTTTATGATCAATCAAGCATCTAAACAGAATACTAATGAGGAACAATCTACATTAATAAACTTATGCATAATTTGTGAACAAAATAATTAAAACTTTAGCAGAATTGAGGTAAGAAAAATAGATAAATATATTCCTAAGTTATATTAAAAAATGAGCAGGTTGGCAGAAGTACAACATTAAAAGCCAAACCAAAAATTCCTGTAAAGAAATAGAACACTTCAGGCTATTAAACAGAGTATAAATTAAAAAACTATTAAAAAACACCCCATATCAGGTGTGATGAGATTTGGGCCTTACTCAATTTAAATAAACAGTAATTCAATGTCTTAATATACAACAATTGCATTTTAATATATATAAACTTAATTTTGGAACAATCGTTTACTACATGCATTTTGTTAAACATCTCTAAATTCCCACACATTTACCATCTCATTAGCAGAGTTACTTTTATATTAATAAAAACATGCACTAAGTAAAAAACCCTTATTACATTATAAAAGCTATTCCTTCAGCTTTAATCCAATCCATTTCAAATAAATGTAAGCATTTGATGTAAGCATATTAATCAACTGCATAATCTAATTACACAGATACATATAAAACGATATTTCTTATTATATCATGCATATTATAACTTACGATTATTGCATAAAGACATTTTTATGTCAACATAATTATTACATTATTTCTTACATTAATATTTATTATACATGTACAAAAAAGTCGGGGAGGGGGGGGATCCAGTTTGCAATATCCTCAACACCTACCAATATAGAACTAAGAAGAGCAAATGTGATAGCCAAAAGCTTACACCGGTTTTCTGTGTAAACTTACCATAATATCCTAAAAATCTATAAAATCACAATACACCTAACAGTGAAATTTTGTCCAAATTCATACTTCAGCATTATCTCTTCCAATTCATTCACAAGGTATAAAATTACAATTGTTTAAAAGCATGTAGATCCAAAAAACATTTTTATTTCTGAATTCTAACAATGCAATACAAAGTGCTGGAATATTCAATGAAAAAATACTCAAAAATATTCATAAGATTGTCCAACTTTAACTTGCATTTAAAAAGTATTTCAGTTTACAAAATAACATACATTTAAATCTTAATTTTTTTTCTTACATAAATTACAATTTAAATACAAAGAAGCATCATTTACACATTATTTCAACTAGGTCCCAATTCAATCCTATTTATTTTAATAATAAAATATTTCTTATAAACATCTCAGAACTTCAGTTATACACCGCGTTTTGACTTACTGCACTGGTTTTATATTTCGCAGTCTCACTTTTCAAATAATTTTCTCAGAAATGTGGACAGAAGAAGGAAACAAAAGACTTGAGTTTTCAGTCTGGTACAGGCATTAAAAAACTAGCTAATGAATTGAGGGGATACTTGCAAGGGAAAAACAGATGATTTTATTTTAAACAGGATGCTGTGTTAAGTAAACACGAAAGAAATAGATGCCAAGTAGATATTTTTGTGACGGATGTTTATGACAAAAAAGTTGAAGAAAGAGCAGAAACCCGTGGACAGTCCACTTCAAAGAAACTGCATGTTCAAGATGTAAAGTTTCCCCCAACATCGAAGCCAGAAGTCAAAAGAATAACACTTCAATTAAATGTGAAGAAGCCTGCTTTTCAAATGGATGGCTGCATAAATTTAAACTGCAATATAGAATCTAATCCCTTAATAAACAGATAATCAAAAATATTCCACCTAGTCACTTGAGAAGGGTTTTAAGAATTTTTATTTATCAAAATAGATGGATATAAATTAACACATTTTTAATGTTGATAAAACTTCTCTTATGCCTGCAAAAGCCCTAGCTTTCAAAGGTGACCAGTGTCATGGAACTAAAGAATGTCTCGCTGCTACTTACTGCAAATACTGTTGGCATGGAAAAGATAAACTCCTTAAAGTTATAGGCAAAATCACAAAACTCAGGTGCTTCAAAAATGTTAAAACTACCATTATAATACAGTTACCAAGCAAATAAAGTATGATGACTATAGGCAATACCAAAACCATAAAATTTTTACTTTCTAAGGATCTGTATACTGCTCACTGTCACATAGCAGATTCGCAAAACGTGAAAGTTTTCTTTCTGGAAAACTGCACTATGTATTACAAGCTTTAGGTCAAGGCGTCATTAAGAACTTGAAACATTCTACTGCCAAAAGTTGATTCAAATAGCTCTTCAAAACATAAGTATATTTTTGAGGTTATAAATATTTGATTTCACCCAGAGCTCAAGCAAAACTAAAAACCATTCAAAATTGCTCCATTAAGAAGGTATTTTTGAACCGAAGATAAAAGTGCTGACGATAATAATAAAACTACGATTATTTACGGAGACTTGAAAACTACTAGGATTGGACATTACAATCGAGGAACATGTAAACTACGATGCAACGTAATGAACGGATTGAAAACATTTTACCAGATGAACATTTAAATAGTGGAGATGAAGAACAAAGAAATGATTGCACCTTTTCAAAATGGTCTACTGCACCAACACCCTCAGAAATTTCTTTGTGTGCAATAATTCAAGGAAGAAAACATTTCGAGAACTGATAGCAATTTGCTTAAGATTCAGAATCAAAAAGACATATCAGATTTTCTTTAAAAGTTACATTTTACTTTTTTGTTCTTTGAAAAAATGTTACTTATTCAAGATGGTAATTCAAATAAGTTACGACTTTTTTTGTCAATTTTATGATTTACGATACAACCGTCATAAACTTTCATTCTTATAATTTTACAAATACTAAGTTTTTTTCGATATTTTAAAAATTTAATTTACAACACATTCTTTGAATTGTTTAAATTATTAACATTAAATATTTATTTAAAATAATAATTTTAAATTTCAACATGTTAATATTTTAAGCAATAAAATCATGCAACATCAGTAACAGGTTAGTCTCAAAATGATGCAGCCAATATACGTTTCATATCGTGAAGTTTTGTTCGTTTTTGTCATCTGCGAATGGTCCCTCGAAAGACGCATGAACAGCTCTCTACTACACACATTTTCATGGATTTCCGTTTAGGTCCAATCACTATTTTTACTATATTTACTGACAACCAGCACAGATATTTTTATGCTAGTTAACATTTTTCTAACAAGCTAAGTTACCTGGAAAAGTACAATTCTGATTCGCAAAAAGCAAATGGTCCGAAATTTATCAGGAAACTAAAATATTTGCATGCAAGTGTTATCTTTGATTAGTAAGCATTGTTAGAAGATAAACACTGCATGCATATAAAACATTCATTACCTGCTTTGCAAGGTGACAAGCACGGTCGGGAGCATTCAGTATTTCAAAATAAAATACCGAAAAGTTCAAAGCCAATCCCAATCGAATGGGATGAGTTGGCTGCATTTTATTTTTACTGATATCAAAAGCTTCCTGGTAAGATTTCTGAGATTCCTCAACAACACCTAAAAAACAAAGAGCAGGATTAATTTATGTATCATACCTGTTTTGCTAACTGGCAAGCTTTGTCTGGAGAATTCAATATTTCAAAATAAAATACTGAAAAGTTCAAGGCAAGCCCCAAACGTATAGGATGAGTTGGCTGCATTTTATTTTTACTGATGTCAAATGCCTCTTGGTAAGCCTTCTGTGATTCTTCGACAACACCTGAATACAGAACGCAAGCATGAAGTATATTATAGTTAAAATAATCAAAACAAAAACAGCTATATAAAGATTGCTTCAAGACGCTATTTAAGTATTCTCAAATAATTTACCCAAATTACTGAAGCATAACTATGTATTACCATGCACACTTTTTTTCTCAGAATGGCTTACAGATACAAAAGTGGCCTAACCGGTGACAATGATTACACACTATATCACACAATTAAAGCTTATTTCTCAAGTTAATAGCCAAAAACAAATTAAAAATTTCATAATTCTAATTCCTTAATATTTCAAAAAGACCACATATAAAGAATAAATCTTCATAATTAACAGATGCTTATGTATTAAAATTGCACAATTCATAAAAATACTGCATACAATTAAATTTTTACAACAATCTTGTAAAATGAAAGGACTGATACATTTTACATTCTTCACCTAAAAAAGGTAATACTGCATATTCCAAAAATTTCGTCTTTATCCTGTTAACCTCTTTGGGTATGCAATTAAAAGACTATTGAAATATAACTATATTCTAATACTTTGCCGATTTTCTTTTTCTACACGCAGTTAATTCAGCAGGTTTGATGTTCTATTCGGCACTGTAAACTAGAAATATAAAAGAATGAAATTTTTCATCATATACACGAGATCCTAAAAAATATCAGCATAAAATTCTTTATCACATATGCAAGATCCTAAGTAATATCTGGAAACTGAAAAATTAGTAACATAACAGCTAACCACCTGATATGGCTAGACAGAATAAATCAAATTTAAAAGCATATCAAGGCATTATAAAATACCTTCAAAAACTTAACCTGAAATAAAAAAATAACAGATGGAAGGACCAACATATTTTAAAATATTGCCTCTCGAAATTAGTGCACATATCTACACTGGCACAAATTTCCTATTATTAACAAGATGCTATTTTAATACTGAATTTTTAAAATGATTACAGCTAATAATTCTTAAATTTTACCTGCAAGTTAAAAGACAGTCTTACTATACAACTTAAACTTATAAAGGCAAATATTAACTACAGCATTATGAAAAGCCATATGTTTTATGTATACAGCCTAGCTTTTAAAGGATTGGATCATTTAATTATGGCAAAGCACACAAGGGCTATCTGCCTAAAGGGAGAGATGCCCTTGTGGAGGACTTTCTAAGGGAAACTGGCTCGTATACGCACTACACATGGGGAAAACCACAAAAAACGCCCATGCAGCCAGCCCGTTCGCGGGATTCGAACCTCGGATTGAACTACCTGTATTCAGCATCTTTACCGCTCGGCCGCTGGTGAGCCCTACCTTTTAAAGACACAAAAGATGGACAACTTCAAAGCTATATATATATGTTCCACATACTTTTAAATTACATATACATATTTTTAACATACCCAGTTCATAAGTAACGATAAGTCCATTTTCCCCCATAACTGCCTTCCAAAAAATCTGCTTGGGCCAAAAGCATATTTTTTTCGATAAGTCCATTTTCCCCCATAACTGCCTTCCAAAAAATCTGCTTGGGCCAAAAGCATATTTTTTATTACATTTTTTGATATTTAGCTTGCTGAGAAATATTAAGCTAATTAAGTGAAAAAATCACTTATTCCGGCTATAGACAAAAAGAGATTATATACAGAAGCATTTCCAGAAAACTAATAATTCATGCACAAGAAATATTAAAAGTGCAAAAAAGCCCAGAATTTTTGTTACATCAATAAAAACTAAGAAACTATATGACAGCATATTTAAATATTACACACCAACTGGGATTTTTGGAGACTAACTGGGATTTCATTTTACAATGTTATGTAATGAATGACATATTATAATTACATTCGCAGCTAGTTTTCACATGTGGAAACTTATTAGCAATATGCTTTAGTAGAAACATTGTGTTTACCTAGCATTTCGCAACTAAAACCGCAAATCAAAATGCTCAACTGAAGACCGCATTAATTCACAAGTACTGTTAAGACACCTAAGAACAATTTTATGAATTAACATAAAAATCCCCATCCTCTATTGTAATGCTTAAAATAAATTAATTCAAACTTATTATTGGGTAAAATATGAGTATTAAAAATCGCATTCTTTCTAAAAATTTAATTTTGCACCTGCATAATATTTTCAGTGCTATAAAATTAAACAGTGTTATCCTTCATTACTAACAGCTATTTTGCTGATGATTAAAGACAAAACTTTATTCGTTGCACATAATTTTGCAATTTACCAAGAAATTCCTCAAAAACACATGGTTCAACAGACTGAAAAAGGGATATCTGAATTTTCAGTTTTCTACTACAATTAAGTTTCAACAGAAACTTAACTCAGCTGTTGTAGAACACCAAGGATATCAATTACAATCAATATTAATTAATATATATTAAATGTCTAGACTTTTTTATAATACACTTCTAAGAAAAGAAAAATTAACTTACTGTTTTTTTGATCTCCAGTGGCAACTTCTGCTAAGTACCTGTAATAGTCACCCTTCATTTTCAGATAAAAAACTTTGCTCTCAGCATTGCTCGCTTTTGGGATAAGGAAATTATCTAGCAAGCCCTATTGAGAATTTACAGAAGTTTACACAAAATAATGCAAACAATGTTATTAAATAACAGAATAAAATACTTAACATAACACTAACACGTTAGAATGTTACTTTCTCTTGAAAGAGAAACTGCAAGCATTAAAATATTTTAGCTAAGCCTATTATTACATAAAAGTTTTCACATAATGACTGACCATTACAGGAAAAATCTATGCAGCACAGATACAACCTGTTCGCAAACAAATTATTCAAATGTAAAATAAATGCTTTAAGGGTATTACTAGCGAAATATACTAATTTCATAATTATGTATTATACAAATTTTTTAACTTACGCACTAGAAGAAAAGTATCCAAATTCAAAATTGATCACAGGGTTCAACTCAAATCTTGATAACTTCAATCTACAACTAGTTCCTCAATATAAAATATTAACTGTAGTGCTATTAACTATTTTACATGCAAATAAAAGATGATAAAGAATCACAAAATAACATTTTTGGAACTTGTAAGTAGTCAAAACTGGAATTAAACCGAAACTTTCCACAACATATACTTCGGATACATTCGACTTAAATTTATCTGAAAAAGCTCTTAATGATAAATATATATTAATTTTAAATTTAGGAAATGTTATTACTTACTAAAACATCATAGCAGATCTCTCTCAACTCTTTTTCAACTTTCTCACGATATTCCTTGGCCATTTGTTGCTTCTTTTCACTGCCTTCTGTTTTCTGCTCTATACTGGAAATTACTCTCCATGAACTTCTTCGAGCACCAACCACATTTTTGTAGGCTACGGACAAAAGATTCCTCTCTTCATTGCTGAGCTCCACTCCAGTTTCCGTCACTTGTTTCATAGCCGAAGCCATATCATCGTAACGTTCAGCTTGTTCGGCCAACTTAGCCCTCTGCACCAATTCATCTTTATCCATTTTGAACGTAAGAGTTTATTAAACACTGAAAAAAGACACAAAAATAAGATATAACAGAAGGTTTTTCAGACAGGTTTGGAATCCAACCGGTGCACTGCTGCAAGCACTAACACAAAGATGGCGGAAATGGAACACGAGAAAGGTTGAGCGACGACCTTCGCGCACTTTTATAGATGTGCGCAAGCTCGTTAAGATTATATTAAACTACAAAAATATACCTTAAATTTACTGAAAAAAAAATTAGCAATTTAACATCGAAAACTTTGATTCAAAAGTATTTACCAGCTAACGAAGAATCCCTGCGATGTCAAGTTAACGCCGGTCGATGCTTTCTCTTTATACGGGGATACACATGTAAGCGAAAGGACCGTGACGTCAGCCGTTGCTCAGCAACAGCAGCACGCTCGAAATTACCGTGGGCTAATGGAAAGCTCTTTCTTGAATTCCAGAATTTCACTCAACTTCATTCCGCAAAATATAATACTTACTCAAAAAGGCCAATTAAAATTTAGAAGCGTATATTTTAAGTAAACTGATGTTGTTAAGTTGGACGTATTGTCTAACTTAAATTCTTTATCTTTTTTTGTTTACTTTGCTTGTATTTTAACGGTAAAAACGTCTTCAATTAATTTAAAAGAAGGTATTAAGTGTAAAATGTTAAGGGATTAATTTCTACAATTTAACTAAGGATTATTAAAATAAAGATATCTTAGAGGTTTTCCTCACTTTGAAAGAAGAAAATCATAGGATTTTTTTAAATATATATTAAAGAAATATAAATAAAAAATACTTTCAATAATGAACGATAATTTTTCTAGAGGAGAAATAGGAAGAATGTGCATACAAAAGATACATTCTGAAATATTTATGCAAGTATAATCTTTTAAGTTTTGATTCGGGTAATGCAAAGGTCAAATCAAAGACCGAATGGATAGGACTGTTAACCACCGGTAGTTCGGTCTGGTTTCAAATACCATCGAATACTGGCTGAAAGCATAGGCCGGTGGTCAACAGTCAACAGTGTATTCGTGCTAACTTTATGTGTTGCACTAAATAGGGCTTCGTTAACACAAAATTGCCAGAACTGCTTTTTCAGGATACCTTAAGCTACATATGAAACAAGAGGCTATTGAATATTCACAGAAGATTAATGGGCAGGTTCTAGATTATCCTGCATACATCCCAGATCTCTCAAAAGTTTTGAGAACGAAACTTTAGTATAGACTAAAAGATGGAAAATGTCATATCCATTACTCATCCATCTTTCAGAAGAAGTTCTTTAACTTGTGTTTGAGAGGATGGTGTAATGTAAGGCTAGGAAATCATGCAAAAATCCCTTTTTCGATAAGAAAAGTTATACTTAATCTCAGACCCTTAGTGAATAAAAACTGTTAATGAACTTACAAAATAATCTTTGTAATTCTTAATTATTGCTCACATTTCAGTTGTAACAATTACTCAGATCTTCATTTAATTTTTGTTTTTCCAATAACAGAAATCATGAATGATGTGAAACTTACAATAACTAATAAAAATAAATACAAATTGACAAGATATATATATATATCCAATTTAATGTTTATGCATGTTTCAAAATTTTTACTCTGCTTACCAGAAAACTCACTGAGAAACGTAAAAAAAAAAAAAAAAAAAAAAAAAAAAAAAAAAAAAAAAAAAAATTAATACTTTTTTTTTAATTGATTTGGGTTAATTCCGATTCAAGATAACTGAAGACATGAAACCTTTATTCCATTCTGAATCTGGCATATCCAAAACAGTTTTTTAAAGTACCGGGGGGGGGGGTAAGCAAAAGAATCTATAAGCAAACTGTTCTTCATAAGCAGGCACACCAATTAAATATTATCTTAAATAATGGTATTTCCAACCAGTATAAATCATATTACCAAACAACTAGTTAAATCTATTATTAAATCATGAAGAAATGAAGAATCTTACGTGTGTATGTTTGTTCCTAGTACACGCACAGTTCTTCTCCGGAATATGTGTACCTCAAGCTTGTATTTGTTAGTCCAAAGGGGCTTTGTTCCTGAAGGACTATTGTTTTCGTTTTGCGATTTTGCGTCGGACTCATAAACGTCGGTTCACTTTTCAAACTGTTGCCACAAAATGTTAGAGTCCTGCATTATATTTGAAGAAATTAAATAATATGAAAAAAATCTGCTTAAATGATTGTCTATTTCTCGCATTGTGATAAAACAATGGTACATAGAGCCATCGAATTTGAATGATGACGAAATCCTACTGCGAATATGGGCATTCTGAAATTCCAAATTTGGAATTTGTTTTATGATAGATTTTATATTTTGTAAAACTTTAACGAATTTTTGATTTACAAACTCAATGCTTTGCTTTAAAAGCGAGAAATGGCAACGTTATATTTAAAAAAAAAAATACTTTTATCTCCAGCTCGCGACACTGTGTATATCGGAAATTCTAAAGATATGCTTAATTTAACATTATTTTGCGATATTGCTCTTGAACTGAATTTTATGGTTTAAGTGCAAAGAACATGATATTTAATAAATAAAGGTAACACTCAAAACGTTAAAAAAACGCCCCTTTGGACGTAATTTAAAATCTGAAACATTTCAGATTTTTTTTTTTTTTAATTTATTTATTTAATATTTGTGCCTAATTAATGACATTTTGATTAACAAGCTGGATGATTTAAAAGCAAATTGCTGCCATCCGGCTAAGCGTAAAATATTTATGTTTCAAATTTAATTTGAAAATTATGCGATTTGAAGGAAATATGATGCCACTCGGAAATGCGTAAAACATTTGTCTTTTAAATTTAATAAAAAAAGACTGCTATTAAAAAAAATATGATTCACTGCCCACTGCTATAATGTGTTCGATATAAAATATTTTTGCCTTCCACACATGGAGACTTCCACACGCCAGGCTGTTGCCATTCGGGGAAATACAAAATATTTAGTTTTTCTTTTAAATTCAGTCTGTTCTGTTACTGATTAACAAACAAAATGATTTTAAAGCGATAAATGCGTCTTTTTATCCCAGTTATTGTTAATTACTACCTGTGCTGAGTAAAATTATTACACAATTTTCTTTTTCTGTAATTAATTTTAGGCCGCTGACCGCACAAACGACTAGCCTTTTAAAAGAGAGGGAAGCAAAAGAATTTATAAGCAAATAAAATTTTCTATAACGAGGTGCATAGTAGAATATATTCTCAAACCAAGGCCATTCCTAGGCCATTGGCCGCCCTAGGATGGCAGCCCCAAAATTTAAAAAAAAAAAAAAAATGCTCAGTGATTAATAAAATGTTTATTTTATAATCAGTAAGTACTTACATATGACAATTCGCATAAAAGATACTTACATATGACAAGTACTTACAATGAATTTAAAATATTTAGTTGTGGTATCGTGAGAATCCGTCGTCTCTGATTTTCGCAGCGCTCCACCCCCGCTAGGAGCGGCCCTGTCTCAAACTACCAAAAATGGTGCAAATATTCATAAAAATTATCAAATAAATATATTTTAAATATTGCCAAGCAGTCAGTTATACAAGATCGGCTCATACAGCAACGGGACAAATTAAAAATCCATACAATAAAAATTAAAAAAACTATAAAGAATTGCAGATAAAAAAGGTAAAAGAAAAGAAAAATCTGTAAGCTATCAGATTTTATATTACGTCTAAAAGGGCGCTTCAATAACTTTTGTGTGTTACCTGTATTATTAAATACGTTAAACCCCATGCAATTAAATTCAACAGCAATACCAAAAAATATTTAAAAACAGCGTAGCTTTAGAATTTCCGATAGACAGTTTCAGGTGCTGAAGGGTTTTTTTTTTTTTTTTTTTTTTTTTTTTTTTTTTTTTTCCCTTGCAGTGTTGTCATTGCTCGCTTTGAAATCTCGAAGTTTGTTAATCAAAAATTCGTTAACGTTTTCAAAATATGAAATACATAATAAAACAAATTCGGAATTCAAAATTCGGGCGTCCAGGTGTCCATGTTCGGGTGGAGGATTACGTTATTCAAAATTTGATGACTCTAGTTTCAAATTCAAAATTTGATGACTTTGTACCGTCATTTTTTCACAGTGCGAGAAACATACATAAATACATGCAGGTTCTTCATTATTTTATTTCTTTAAATATACTACAGGGCGATAATAATTGGAGGCAACAATTTAAAAAGTGATGCGCCTTTTACAGTGAAACGTGACAAAATGCCGTTTTGAGACTGATAGCCCTTCTGGGTTACCGCCTGGGCTAAAAAGGGAAAGAATAAATGCGTGTTTAGAAAGAATGACATCTCAGCTCCTCCTAAAGGCAGTTTAAATTGGTTATTTCATCGTTTGCATATCAAAACGTAGGAGTCATTTTCCTTTTCTGAGAAGATATTGTACAAAGAAAAAAAAAAAAAATTGCTTCGAGATGAAACAGCTGTCATTTTATTACAAATTAGGTAAATTTGCTACTGACACGTTAAAGACGATTCGAATAGTGTACAGTGACGCATCGTTACCAAGAACTCAAGTCTATGTCTAGAGTGGTGCAACTGCTTTAAATATGGGCGTGAAAGAGTTGAAAATGAACCAAAGATAAGATGCCCTTCAACTTTAAAAAATCTGATGTGTACACCACATGTTCCTTGTACGGAATATTAAATTATACTCATTTTTTCTTGCATTTCATTAAAACTTATTAGATTGAATTAAACCTATTTCGCCGACAGCGCATAAACCACAATAGAATAAATGCATTCTTTAAAATTCACTTTGTTTACCATAGCGACACTCTGGCGCTAGGTTTACTTAACAGTATTATATTTCGTTCATATTATTACTCAGAATGCACAAAATTTATATCATTTAAAGAATTATCGAATCGTTGCCACATGCTCTATTCAAATACTATAATAAAGCTAGAACTATGTATAAAAGAAATTAAGCAAACAAAACAAAAAAGAAACAGTTTTCACAGACGATTGAGTATTTCTCATTCATTAATTCAGTTTTCACTTCGCGACAAGGCAAAAATACATAAAAACTCAAAATATCTGTATTAAAAATTACGAAGTAAATCTTAAACGCTTATTTCCTCGAAAAAATTCCAGAAAGGATTAAGCATGATTTTATTTGCAATAATAAATGAAGGCGTTATCTTTGTTGTTGCGAAGCTAAGTTTCTCTAGATTGGCAACAAATCCACTAATCAGCTGTTTCAAATGTAAACAAGAGCAATGGCCGCCATCAAAAAAAAAAAATTACGCTTAGCGGCACTTAAACAAGCTTTAAAATTGTTGATAATTCTAAAAATATTGCATACAGATTTACTAAAGGCATAAAAACCCTTAACCGGAAGATAAAAAACTACATAATTCAATCATTTTTAGAGCAAAAAAAAAAAAATGTACAATTT